GTCCTGGTGAGATTAAAGAGCTGCTACAGTACGCAGTATAATGCAGGTGAACATCATACAAGTGTGATTGATTAGCCTACACATTATTGCACCACAGCAGAAACATTTATTTTGTTGTTGATGAATGTGAAGAGGCAGGTTTTGATAGGTGAATACAAAATACAAAAATATTGCATGGTAGTGCTRCATCTTTGTCTAATTTTTTATATGTAYAAAAATTGGGCCGGTCTTGGCCATTAAACTCCCRGGCTGARAAATTTCCCCACTCCGCCCCTGGCCACAGGTACCATTTATACAGAAAACATTACGAGTCAAAACAAAATAACATCATATAAAGTGAAGTCCTTGAAGGTTTTGACTCACCCAGCCACTCACAGCCGTAGAGCTCCACTCTCATGCACACGGTCATGGACGGGTCCGTGACGGGCATGAAGCGGACAAAACGAGCCACGATGGGTGGCTCGAGATCCTTCAGCACTGCTTCATATGCATTCATGTTGCCCTCGATGACCTGGCAGAGGAGGAGCAGGAACAATCAGTGTGAAGCGTCATTAATCAGGTATTTTCCATGAAGTTCAACAGTTGGATGAAGTTTAGAGACACAGAAAATGTCTCTTAGACCCATTAGACTTCATGATCAGCACAATGGAGTTTAAACTGTTCCAGCTGTGTGTTGTATGAGACAGGCTGATTGTATTGTATTTCTTGACATTTGGAGAAAAAGACGTCACAGTGACCCAGCAAACAGGACCCAGTAGGTGTCTGCACCTCCTTAGTGAGCGTAAAATCGACTCAGCTCAGATCCTTCATCAGCGATACCTTGGATGTCTGTGTTGACTTTTATCACTCACAGAAAATGTCCTGCTTTTCKTTTCTTTTGATTTCTGAAACTGTTAAAATCAAAACTCGTTCTGGCAGAAGTTTTATATTTATGATAACAAAACTAGGGCCTTGCAGGACAAATTGTAAATTAAATGGTAGAAAATCCATAAGCCAGTCATTACCAGAAAAAGTTGATTATTTCATGATAKTTAGACACTAATTATATGCGACCAGCTCAGAAAGGAGGGGTAAAACTTTTGGGATATTTATTTATCTTTTTATGTTTCTTCATCCTGATGAGGAAATTCTAACTCCTAAATACTGTTGGTTTTACTCTTTGCCCTCAGAATTCCCTGCTTCGAGGGTTATTGGCTGAAGTTTGTGCTTGAATTTCCATAACTCAAAGCTCTTACACTGATCTGTTTCAAGTAGTTTCATTTTGTAATAAAAAGCCTACTTTTGTTTGTATGGAAGGAAATGTTAACGAGTGTTTCTCTAAGTCCCACTTCACAGTGAATGACAACACCCCACTCTTTGCTTGACCTACACAACTTTTCACAATGTCAGCAAATGCAGAAAACCTCAAATGTGAAGACAATAATGATGGTGCTGCTGTGATTTAAAAGTTTCTCTTGATATTTTCTGCATTCACTTGATGCTCTCCTGAACCCTCATCACGCTCTGTCTGTCAGCAGTATTTACCTGCGTTATTTGGAGGCACACCTGAGGACACATTTTAAYATACATCTCCAGCACACTGCCTCGTTCTGGCCATGAGTGCAGATGGCACTGAGGACGGGTGGACAGTGTTGTATAAAGTACCTCAAAGTATCTTACCATAAAATTACTTTGGTGAAAGTTAAAGCCTTCTCTAAGTWGAAGTCTTAAAGMATATGATATTTTTTGTTCTCCATTATCAAAAGCTAATTTCTGACATGAAATGTACTTAAGAATTAAAAGTACAAGTATTGAGTAAGTGACCTACCAATAAACTCTTTTCTCAAGGCCATGATGACTATAATGTTAAACAAAAATGTTAATGTTAAAAACTTTGGGATGCACTATTCTACCTGTTTCAGCTGCTGATACATCTCTGCCACAATCATCTTCATATGACACTACGTACTTGTGACATGTTCTGTTGGAGTGTGACATGGATTGTGTCATWYAGGTGTGATGGATCGTACAAACCAACAGCGTGTCAGAATGGTATATGTTTATGTCAAGCTATGTCTATGAGCTATCAAGCTCCTCTCTTGTGGAACCAACTTCCATCCGTGAGGCTGACACTCTGTCTACTTTAAGATTAGACTGAAGACTTTCCTTTTTGATAAATCCTATAGTTAGACTTAGGTTTCCTGAATTATTCTTCATTTCTGCTGCTGTAGACTTAAGACTGCTGGAGCACAAACTGAGCACATTTCCTCACTCTGCTGTTGTCTTTTAGTCTCTCTTCTCTACATGTTTATTGTAATTATTTCTATCAATGACGTGTTTTTTCTTTGTCTCTTTTTCAGAAGAAGGTGCACCTGAACCAGTTCTTCTGTGTTTGTCTGTGTCTCTTTCCTGTCCCTCAACCAGCCGAGGCAGATGACCGCCTGTCCTGAGCCTGGTTCTGCTGGAGGTTTCTTCCTGATTAGCAGGGAGTTTTTCCTCTCCACTTTTAGCTCAGGATGGGAGACTGTGATGAAATGATTCAACACAATCTGCTGGTTTCTTCTTTAGATTGTTCTTTTTTATGTACAGTGCCCTGAGACAGCGTCTGTTGTGACTTGGTGCTATATACAGTAAATAAACTGAATTGAACTGAATTGAATTAAAGAGTACAGAGCCATGTACGGTCATTTTTATGAGATATCAAAAAAAGACACAAGTGTGTTTGTGCGTAGATGTATATAAATAATTTGTGTGTTTGTGTAATATAGGTAAATATCGATTATTGGCCATAACACCAATAGTTATATCAGATATCGGCTGCAAAGCGATCTACTTGAGTTCTACATATAAACCCAAATGCCAAAATAAGTTGGGTTGAAATCATTTGTTGAAAGTCCCTGGCTTGGCCCCCCTGTTCAAAAATACCATCTGCGCCCCTGGTTCTGGCTGATCAGAAGGGGGTCTGTGAGTATCTGTATGATGAGTGTTTCTGAATATTCTCTGGGTCACTTTCATGACGGTAACGTTTTCAATCTTTTATCTGGACTCTAAAAACTAAGAGTTTATTGTGAGGTTCTGGTTCTCCTAAATAAATTAGAGTAAAACATTAGACGTGATGACGTGATGCTCGCCTGCTGTCCGCTCCTGTCTCGCCAGCCCACCCAGCTCTTGCCGTCACGGCTGTACTTGATCCTGTATCTCTGGGCGAACTCGTTCCCGATGCCGTCGGCGTGGCGGCCTTGYGTGCCCACCAGCGTGATGAAGTGCAGCGAGCGCAGGTCCACCTGGAGGTACTCTCTGAGGTCGTCGGGCTCCGACACGATGTCGGGACACCAGGCCCCGTCGCCGTCCCCGTTGTCCGAGTCCAGTCTGYGGAGGGAGGGCACAGAGGTCATTCAGCCCGTCTGAAAGGCGGGTCAGGCAGAACTGAGSTATTCAAATGAAAGTTGCCTTCCAAATCTTGCAGCGGTGGACTCGGACCACTGACTGGACGCAGAGATGTCCTCATCCTGGATCTGCCCACTGCTCATGCCCAGAGGGTAGCGACACGTTTCTGTGAACACACATAAACACGGAGCAGCATAAGAAATACTCTGTTTATACATGTGAGTGTGAAGGAGGACAGGCTTTTCCATTTTTTCTTCCTTTTTTTCATACATTTGCAGGATAATTGGTCAGGCTTACCCCCCACGCCCCCCGCCCGCCCCCTCCTTCCTGCAGCCCTGCAAGGCCTCTAAAGCCAAACAGAGGCATCAGTGTGTAGGCGCCAGTCTAAGCAAAATGAGCAGGGAGGGTCCACTGAGCGCTCCGCTCTTTATTTTTTTATGTGTTTTCATGATTTTTAACCTCAGAGATGTGATGATGTCGTCACAACAGAAGAGACTTCAGAGTTAAAATATAATTCACAGACATCTTTGAAGTGTTGTTTCAAAGAWGTCTATTTATTAAGTGTTCCTCATTACTGTTCTGGTTTTTATTTATTTTTTATTTTTTGGTTTTCATTCCAAAATGCTTTTATTCTCTGCTTTGAAAAAACACATCAAAACCAGACATTTATAGTAACAAAGTACATACGCTTCATTACAGTAGTTAGTCATTTCTTTGAGGATTTGTAATATTACTGAGTACTTTTTAAAATGGTAACTTTTACTTTTATTTTGTTGCATTCAAAGCCTAAAAATGATACTTTCACTTCTTTAAAATTTAACACCTAGTTACATGCTATACTTTTAAATATGTCTGAATGCATCGTGAAAAGAAATAGGAAGTTTTGAATTTACTGAAGCAAGTTGTGTCAACTGGTTCCACAACACCAGAGGTGCCCAAAATGTGGCTCGTGGGCCAAAACTGACCCGTCAAGCATGCCCACCAATAGTTGCCCTGGTTGTAATCTCCTGTAGTCCTCTGCAGAAACACTGTATTTCCACTGAAAGTCAGTCCATCCATTTTTAACACTTTATAAGACCACAAATACTTTGAGCAACTTACGAAATGTCCCATAAACCTTTGCTGCTTGAGCATATTCTCCAAGTGCACGGAAGCCACTGCACTTGGAGAGTAGCTTAATAATAAAAAATTATTTGTATTTCATGTATCATATTATTGCATTTGGCCCACAGCCCTTGGATAGATTTTCATTTTGGACTTCTCATGGAAAAAGTTTGGGCACCCCTGCACTAAACCAAGTTGAGTAAATGGGAAAGCAACTTAGTTTAGTGGCTTTTTCATGTAAAGGTTCTTGTAACATTATGACTTTATTCTCCTAATTAAAAAAAAATAAAATCATGTTGTGAGGCCCTATTATTCTGTCGTACAACCAAAATGTAGGAAATTGACGTTTGACACCTAAACACTTGATTTTTTTAAGTGATTGACTGAATTTTAGATCAGTGGTTCCCAAACTTTTTATCTTCTGACCCACAAAATATTCATGGCAAAAACTTGTGACCCCAAATAT